GCTTTTATATATATATATATATATATATATATATATATATATATATATATATATATATATATAAAAACAACTAAAAAGTTGCAAAAAAAAATAATAACGTTTTTTTATGAAGTATTTATATATTTTTATATATTTTTATTTGTTTTTCTATATATACATATTAAGAAACTATACGTGGCTTCTCATTATGCTATATATATATATATATATATATAGAGAGAGAGAGAGAGGGGAGAGAGAGACAGGCAGATAGATAGATAGATAGATAGATAGATAGATAGATAGATATATATATATATATATATATATATATATATATATATATATATATATATATATATATATATATATATATATATATATATATAATGCAGTGTTACATTATAGCATGCACATGCAAGAACATGCAAGTGGGTATGTGCATGTTCTAATGTAACACTGCATAATATATATATATATATATATATATATATATATATATATATATAATAATTTATTTAAAAATATGATTCCAATTCGCGACATAAGAGGTCTCATGTTTTAAAACAAGAGCCGAAAACTTCAATATAATTATTTGAATTAAATTGAGTTAAAATAAGCTCTGTTCCATCTTCAAGCGAAATTTTTTTTGGAATAACGTATTTCTGAAATTTACGTTTTTTTTAATAATTGAAATCAAAATTTTCATGGTAACAGGGTGAATTGTTTAAATTGGGTAGGCGTGTGTTGGGTGTTAATAATAAGTATCAGTATAGAGTTACTTTCATAGATGTCAAGTCAGGGTAAGGTGGGGGTGTCTAAATTTGAAACGGAAGATCTATTAACCCTAGTCTGGTATGCGTGTCTATGGAGATTTATTTATTTTTTTATTTTATTTTTTTATGAAAGGGATTTGTGCATATAAAAAAACTGCCGTAACGTTTGTTTTTTGACGACTTCATAAAGAGTTATCTTTTTTGTAGGGTATTTAAACTATTTATTTGGGCTATGAATTATGAAAGTTATTATATTGTATGCTTGTTCTTAGCTAATTATTCAAACCATGAATCTGATGTTGCTAGGACTCTCAGTGGATGATATAGTACATTGGTAAACCACAGATTTAATATATATATATATATATATATATATATATATATATATATATATATATATATATATGCATGTTCTAATGTAACACTGCATAATAAATAAATATTTACGGCTCTACTTTTGTATTGAGCCCAGTTTTAAATTAATGTTTTGAACGCTGAAATCTTACTCTTCGTTCTCTTACATTTGTATATATATATATATATATATATATATAGATAGATAGATAGATAGATAGATATACAAACAGGCCTACAGGCAGTCAGTGAGATCGATAGATAGATAGATAGATAGATAGATAGATAGATGAGATCGATAGATGGGCTTACAGACAAACAGGCCTACAGCTAGTCAGTGAGATCAAACAGGGCCTCCACAGGCAGTGAGATCGATAGTGAGACAAACAGGCCTCGATAGATAGATGAGGCTTACAGACAAACAGGCCTACAGCTAGTCAGTGAGATCGATAGATAGGCACAGACAAACAGGCCTACAGGCAGTCAGTGAGATCGATAGATAGGCTTACAGACAAACAGGCCTACAGCTAGTCAGTGAGATCGATAGATAGGCTTACAGACAAACAGGCCTACAGGCAGTCAGTGAGATCGATGATGAGACAGACAAACAGGCCTACAGGCAGTCATGAGATCGATAGATAGGCTTACAGACAAACAGGCCTACAGGCAGTCAGTGAGATCGATAGATAGGCTGAGATACAGGCAGTCAGTGAGATCGATAGATGCTTACAGACAAACAGGCCTACAGCTAGTCAGTGAGATCGATAGATAGGCTTACAGACAAACAGGCCTACAGGCAGTCAGTGAGATCGATAGATAGGCTTACAGACAAACAGGCCTACAGGCAGTCAGTGAGATCGATAGATAGGCTTACAGACAAACAGGCCTACAGCTAGTCAGTGAGATCGATAGATAGGCTTACAGACAAACAGGCCTACAGCTAGTCAGTGAGATCGATAGATAGGCTTACAGACAAACAGGCCTACAGCTAGTCAGTGAGATCGATAGATAGGCTTACAGACAAACAGGCCTCCAGCTAGTCAGTGAGAGATAGATAGATAGACAAACGGGCCTACAGCTAGTCAGTGAGATCGATAGATGAAACTTACAGACAAACAGGCCTACAGCTAGTCAGTGAGATCGATAGATAGACAAACAGACAGCTAGTCATGAGATCGATAGATGATACAAACAGGCCTACAGCTAGTCAGTGAGATAGATAGATAGATAGATAGATAGATAGGCTTACAGATAGGCATACAGATAGATAGATAGATAGATAGATAGATAGATAGATAGATAGATAGATAGATAAACAGGCTTACAGATAGACATACACATAGATAGATAGATAGATAGATAGATAGATAGATAGATAGATGTACATACATACATACAGTTACACATACATACATATAGAGACATACCGATAGACATGTATACAGATAGACAGATAGATGGAAACAGACCTTAGATAGATGTTCAACGTGAGTAGCGAATTATGTTTGAAATGCTCACTAAAACCAAACCTGCTTCATAGAATTAGCGCGACGTCATCGACTGTACAGGAAGTGTTTGTTCGTGGAGAAGTGATGATAGCGGAAGCGAGGCAAATTGAGATTTTTTTTTTTTAAATGGTAAGCATACAAGTCACTAAGGCATTTTAAATCAAGAATTAAAAGGCGGAAATAGTAAGAATCCGTTCCATCAGTTCATTTATATTCATAGATTCCATCTTGCATCTCTCCGTCATTTAGTGATAGCAAAATGTATTCAGCAAAGCAGAGATCGAAAAAATTCAACACTGGAATGATTTGGGATCTGAGGCAGCTTATAAGTGGGTTCAAAAAGTTCATTGAGTAAGGGAATCAAACGCAACAGTACAATAAAACTAGTAATAAAATAATAGTAATAATAAAGTGTAGGTACCTTCATGAGATTGCTAAAAACAAATTGCATAGCATAATGAAAAAAAAAGACGTCAAATTTGACGAAAACAAAATTTTATCGTCTAAATGTTTATGTTATTATTAAGAGGAAAGTAATAAAATAATAGTAATAATGAAGAGTGTATTGATCCAGATTGTTGGGATAAAAAGCAACAATAATAAGATGGAATAAAACTAGTAATGAAATGATATTAATAATGAAGAGTCTATTGATTTCTAGCTTGAAGTAAAGTCTTAGCATTTTTTTTTCACACTAAGAGTATCAGTGATAATAAAACCGCTGCTAGCACCTGGAGATGAGAATGTATCGCTTGCAACCTCGACATGAGGTAACTCGCAGTTAATAAAAACCGCCATCCAAGTGTTATCTCGTGGTTGTCAGTCAATGTGTTAATTTACAAGTACTAAATTCCCGACTGTGACTAATTGATTGATTTGTTTGTTTAACGGCTCATCAACGCCTTATGGGTCATTTAATGCCGAAATTTAATTTTCCTGTGAGTTTTGAAGTAATAAAAATATATGTTATTCTGCTATCACAAGTGAATCCATGGTAGATGATACTCAGATTTTGTACATATACATATTTGTGTGGACTTCATTACTAGAGGCAGTGATATGTGTGTTTTATGTTGTAGTTTTGTTATATTTTGGAATACAGTTTGATTTCTTTAAGAAATTATAGGATATTATATGGATTAATGTCATGAAAGAGTTCTTTCATGTTGGTTCATTTTGTTTAGCAGCATATCAACATCTACAGATTATTTAATGCCGGGATTTGAATATTTTGAACAGAATTCTATACCTTCAACTACAGATAAAATGTCCTGTTGATCCTTTTATTATAAATATGTATTGTTGATCATTTTTTAATATATAAAAATGAATTGCTGGTATTTTTACTGTAAAATTATAGTATGTTTTATGATATAAAATTTATAATATAAATATTTTTACTGCTGTATTTTCATAGCGCTTTTTGTTTTTAGGGTTCAATATTTTCCCAAAGCTGGGACCCTAACAGGTAACTAACACCCTGGGAACACCATCAATTAAAAGCTCCTCAAAACCTCCAATCTCCCGATCAGAGGCCTTGCTGCCAGATGTAGTTTATCGTCATACCCAGGACTATCCTGACCGGGAGAGAACAAGTCAACCAAAAAGTTGAATAGTCAGAATGTGATGACGTCGAGTATCCATGCAGTAGCTACGGCAATTGTAGTTCGGTTGCCGAAGAAGATGCAGTAGTGTCGCATCACCACGCCTCTTTGCCGCCTAATCCGCCGCCCGTTCCAAGATGCTGACAACTGGATGAAAAACTTAGAGACCACCTTTGTCTGCAGGCCCGAGACCAAAGATACCACATTGAATTATTGGACCAAATACAGTACTTGCTCGATTATCCGTTATACCTTGGAACAGTGATTGAAAAATATGTACGATTAATTAAAAAATTCGGATAATCGAATAATTAATCTTCTACCGAATAAAGCCATTCTTTTTAGGTATTTAAGTCATTTTCTAAAAGAAATTTAACATCAGCTGCTAAGAATGTTGGTTCACTCTGTCGTGCGAGACAATTTTTCGCGCGAGAATCTATCCTATGCTTAGATCCATGCTTAGAAATTTGCTGCTAGATATGGTCCGGTGCCCTTTGCTATTTACTTGAGCTCCTTGACAAGATCTAAAGAAGAATCAGCAATATTATTGGTCCTGATCTGGCGGCTCGGCTTCAGTCATTACTTTCATGGTAATTGTTTGGAGGAGCTCTTGGCTGTGGTACCGAAACCTTTTGATTTTAGACTGGTATCAGGATCTCATAAATTTACAGATGGGCTGGCTAGATGTAGCAGTAAATCTTCTCTGATAACAGTTTTTCTTCCTCGCACATCTCGCTTGTGGAACTTCCTTCTGACTTTAATCTTAAAAAATTACCGTAATTCCCCATGTTTAATACGCATTTTTTTCTAAAAACAATAATAAGCAAAATTAGGGGTGCGTATTATGCACAGCTACAAAAATATCTTTAAAAAATTGCCGTTTCTTAGGTCGATTTCAGTTGCAAAATGACTACTCACCACAAATATACGACAATTTGACATAAACATTCGGCGACTGCGACCCCATAAGGATGTCAAATACAATCATATGTACCTAACAATACTTACAATAAAATAAAATAAGAATTATGATAAAACTAAGTTTAATATTAGTCTATGTTTTAAATCATTTTTTAATGAGAGTAGGAAACGCTGGCCGTAATGAAATTGGAGAGGTACAATTTATAGGGTTTGATTGCCAAACAAGGGGTGCGTATTATACGTGAGTAGAAGCATTTTCCACACTTTCAGCACAATTTTAGAGGTGCGTATTATAGATGATGGCGTATTATACATGAGGAATTACGGTAAATGCAATATCAATCGCTCTCCTTATCTACTCTCCTCCAGATTAATCATTGCTCTTCCCGCTCATTATTAATATTTCTGTTCCTAATTCTTCCACACGATGTAAACCATTGTGTCTTAGTGACTTTACTACCTTGCATGGGGTGATATCCACGCCCCAAAAATTACATCTTCAAATAACATACTCAGTCACCCTCTTGAGTCTTAGTGGCTTTATTGTCTTGCTTGGTCTGAAATGATTTAGAAAAATATTTCAGGACCGGTTAATCGAGGAAGCACTGTGCCGCTGATCCGGACATTACTGTTATTTCTGCGCTATGTTGGGAATATTGCAGACCCCAATGTGCGCACAAACCAGCAGAAGGTTGGTAGATGACAGTTTAGTGATATTGAGATTTGGCTTGTGTAATTTATATATAGGTAAATAAAGTCGTATGTGTCATTTTTCTACTACTGATGGCACCAGTCTAATACGTAAGCCTGAATCTCACATGTTACGGCACAGCACTGCCTAATCCGGTAGGGTTAAACGGATAACTGTAATCCCCGGCAAATAAACCCACTTGACTATTATCAAATTCCCCTTATTTACTCTTGCTCACCCAATACAAGGCTCAAGAGTATTTACTTAATTCGTGGATAGGTAAATATTGATCATTTATATTTGAGTCTATAAGCATTTAATTGGTTCGTGGATAGTTAAATGCTTGTCTTTTATATTTGCGTCCGTAAACATTTGGTTTGTGGATATGAAAATTTTGATCACTGGGATTGGTATCTATACGCATTTACTTAATTCGTGGATAGGTAAAAATTGGTCATTTAAATTTGAGTCTATAAGCAATTAATTGGTTCGAGGATAGGTAAATATTAGTCGTTTGCATTTGTGTCTATAAGCATTTACTTGGTTAGAGGATAGGTAAGTGTCGGCTGTTTATAGTTGAGCCTAAGAGAGTCTCTAAGCATTTACTTGATTCTCTTTGGTTTGATTTGTTTTACGGCATATCAATCTCAATGGGTTATTCACTAACGAAAAGATTTTTTATTGCTGGTAATATTTTTTTTTCAAAAAGTATTTCTGTTGATACTTTTTCCAAAAATTTATTCCTGACAATAATGTATTTCTGGTAATAATTTTTTCTTCAAATATTCATTGCTGGTAATAATTTTCTTACAAAAATGTATTGGTGGTATTAAACCTATTTTTATGCGTTTTGACTCCAGTTTAGGGGTTAACTATTTGCCCATATCTTGGACCCTAACAGGTGCTACCACCCAGGATCAGGGTGGATCTGGGGATACTAGCAGTTAAGATGTGGTTCCACGCTCCTCAAAACTATCTGATCAAAGGCCTTGCTGTTAGCTGTGGTTTATCGTCTTACCCAGGACGCGGATGTAGTTTATCGTCTTACCCAGGACGCGGATGTAGTTTATCGTCTTACCCAGGACGCGGATGTAGTTTATCATCTTACCCAGGACGACTTGATTCGGCCATAGATACATATTAGTCGTTTATATATGAGTCTATAAGAATTTACTTGGTTCATGGAGAGATAAATGTTGGTAGATTATATTTGAGCCTAAAGCATTTAATTGATCAGGGTTATGTAAATGTTGATTGCTTACTTTTGAGTCTGGAAACATCTATTTGGTTCGGGGCAGGTAAATATTGGTCGTTTATATTTCTCTCATATGTTCCCGCTTGCTTCCGTTTTTTATAAAAGTTTTGGGAAGGAAAGTGTGTAAAGTGTGGTCGTCCCATCACACCAAAAAGGTTCCATTAGCAGCAGTTTTCTGGCTAAACACAAGCTTCCTCAGGTCTGATAATCACCGTATTCCCTAGATCTAGCTTCTTGCAAGTTTTTCCTGTTGCTAAAAAACAAATACCACTTGAAAAGAACAAGATTTCAAGACGTCGATGAAATCCCACAGCATGTCACAAGGCAGGGGTCGCTATTTCCAAAAAAGAAGTTCAAGGAATGCTTCCAACAATGGAAATGACGCTTTGTAAAGTGTGTGGCTTCAGAAGGA